CTCTCTCTCTCTCTCTCTCGCTCTCTCTCTCTCACACACTATTATATATGTTGCGTGTTCGCTAGCAAATGTTGCGCGATCCAGAAATGGCGCATGCTGCCACAAAGTATATAATCTTAAGGCGATTAGTTTTCGATTGAGGTTATTTATTCTTGATAGCATTTATATGAGATATTGATGCTACGTTCGTCAATCCGCACGTTAGCAGGCGCGAAGCTGTCACCTCTGATGGCCTCGTTCATAAGTTCCTCGATATCCCGCCTGACGTGACCTCATAACATAGTCATTAATGTCCTGCAATCTCGGCTGCACTGTGCTGCACCGCAGCCGCCGTCGCCATGCAACCCTGGGCTGCACCTAACGTTAAGCAGGCTGCAGTGGTTTGCTGCTGTAACCGCGCTGCGCAGCTTCTTTGCATCCGTATTGAGATTCGACATTCGTAGAGCTTCATCGTGGCTTCACCTGTGCGTGTGTTACAGTTCCTGGTGCGCCCGGGATCATACCTGAGGAATGCAGTGCCGAGAACAACAGCGTCACCATCGCCTGGCAACCGCACTCACAGAGCTACGTCGAAGGCAACGTGCTGGAGATCGACGATGGAAACAACGGACCATACCGGGTATGTGGCGCTGCGTGTGAACTGTCGGTATGGATGCGGAACAGAGAAATAGGAATACGATAACTTCTATTTTTAAATGCTCTTTCGAGACACGGGTTTCTTAATATAAAATCGAAAATTATGTGGTAGTGGAGAAGTCAACACAATACAAATCAACATAATAGATTCTCTCAACTTATGCGTGCGTGCGTTTGTGCGTGTGCGTGTGCGTGTGTGTGCGTGCGTGTGTATGCATGCGTGTGTGTTAAAGAGCCTCCAAATAAACCAAACCCGCACATGTCCCTACGTTAACACTTCTCCTTATCTCAACCGAGCTGATGCAGAGTTGATAGCAACCGACCCGATGCGGGTTTTATAAGAACCGAGCTCAGGATCGGTACTGCAGCAGGGAATTAGAAGTGACGAAGTTGGTGATGATAGGATGAGCACATTACATGGGTGGCGTGTAATTGCATCTTGTCATCGCTCTCACCTTTATTAAACGCGTGGGCTGTGATAATAACAGGAGTGTCATAATACGGAGGAGTATGACTCGCTCGAAACACAAAGGAATTTCAGCATTTCTATGCCATATAGTTTACCTACGATTTATTACGTGAAACTCAATATAATAAATAATAATCATGTGTGTGTGTGTGTGTGGCTTACAGGTTGTGTACTGCGGTAAGGAGACGATCTGTACTATCGACGGACTACATTTCAACTCGATGTACAACGCGCGAGTGAAGTCGTACAACTCTGCCGGCGAGGGCCCGTACAGCGAGTGCATCGCACTGCAGACTGCTGAAGGTAAGTGGGGCGGTGTGGAGCGTGTTACAGGGTGTGTGGGTCGGTGGGTGCGTTGGTAGGTGGGTGAGAGGGTGGGCTGCGTGTATTACAGGGTGACTGATGCGGTGGGTGGGGTGCGTGGGTGTGTTGGGGGAGGGGGTGAATGAGTGAGCGAGTAACTGACAGACTGACTGACTGATTGCCTGACCGACCGACCGATCGCCCGACCGACCAACGGACGAACGGACAGACCGACCGACTGACATGCGTACGAGCGTGCGTATATCTATGTTAACACTGCCGTAACAAAAACGCGCCACTGCCACGTCGCGTATATACGACCATGTAGTAAACCGCCTTGATGCTCTCTCCTACCCCTTCCGCAGTCTGACTGACTGACTGACCGACGTGCGTTCGAGCGGCGTGCATATATATGTAATCACTGCTGTGAGAAACGTGCCATGTATAGTAAATCACACTTCTCCCTCTCCCTCCCTCCCGCAGTATGTTTTATTATGTTGTTGTGTAGTGCTGCCACGTCGCGTATATACCACACTCTAGTAACTCACACTTCTTCCTCTCCCTCGCTCCCGCACAGTCGCCTGGTTCATGCTGGACGTCACCGACTCACATCCGGACCTGGTGTTCAGCAACGACAATCAGACGGTGACGTGCAACAGCTACGACGACCGCGTCGTACTCGGTAACATCGGCTTCTCGAAGGGCGTCCACTACTGGGAGGTGACCATCGACCGCTACGACAACCATCCCGATCCAGCCTTCGGCGTGGCGCGGTTCGACGTCACCAAGGACGCCATGTTAGGTGAGCGATGGTTGTGAGAGATTGAGAGAGAGAGAGAGAGAGAGAGAGAGAGAGAGAGAAAAGTGTGGAGAATTAAATAAGATACGAGGCGAGGAAGAAAACAAACGATGGCACGGACGAGGATATATAGCCGGATACCGGATATTTAGATGGTTTTCGAAATTGGTTACCGTGAAATGTTTGCGCGCGGGAGAAATAAATGCCTGGCGATGCACCACAAGAGAATAGGTCCGCGTATTTACGTAACGTCTCTATTACGGTGCGGTGAATGTCCGCTTCCGACTGCAGTAGCCATGCTGCGCACACAGGCGATATAGCTCTGCTACAGGTGCACCCACTATATATATCAGGGGTTAATAATGACAAATTTGTCATTATTTAAATTATTCAATTATTCAATTTCATTATTCAATTTTGTCATTATTAACCCCTGATATATATCGTTAAATCAAGAGTGTATAATATAGAGATACTCTATATATTATACACTCCTGGTAACATATATATAAATGTGTGTATATATATATATATATGTCGTTATAGCATCCAGGGGCCCATTGTCAGAAACATCGTAAAATCAAGACTAGTGTTAATGGTTAGATCATATATACTTACCACTAACATTATGAAAGGGGAGTATCGTTGAAAGAAACGCATCGCAAATATGGGAAAACTTACGGTCAACAAGAACATGGCGATTTGCTGTCACGAAGTTGCCGATTGGATGAAAACCAATCACAAAACTCCAATTCATATACATTTATAATACATGATGGGAATATATGCATATTATGATAGTTAATCACATATAAATATCACATATAATAACGGCATAATCGGGTGATAAAACCGCATGATCATGTTTGTATTCTGCATTGTAAGAATTAAAATATCAAAAACAAGAACACAATGGCTTGTTTTGGTACACGATCGACAGACAGGCAGTTTTCCGACGTGTTTTTCTTAAAAAAACATGTTTTACTAATACATATCACACAATACCAACATGATTGTAATTTTGAAGTGCATATGCGTTCTTTTCATCCTGCTGTGATAGTTACGAGATTCCTGCATATCGTAATGTCAAGAGAAAATTTGGTAGGATTTTTTTATTCTCGTAAATTTACGATCTTTCTGTCAATTGTCTGCGAAAAAAAGATAATGTGAAGATTAATATTAAGGCTATATTTGTTTGTTTCGAGTGGTCCCAGCTGTCTGTCTGGCGCTCTGTTCTGCAGAAAATCTCCTCCACGAGGCACAACTATCAGCAATTAGCAATTAGCAAAAGTCATTAGCGCAGTAATTCATATGCGTAATGACTCGAATGGATGCTGCCGGTGTAGGAGCAGTCATGCGCACGCACGAGCCTGCGGCCTAACGTTGACAACGCGTAGATTTTGTGACCATACCCTATATATATAGCTAGGGTGCTGTTACTATGACTACACCTCTAGGATGGTGTTACGATGACTGTACTGCTAGGATGCTGTTACTATGACTACACCTCTAGGTTGGTGTTACTATGACTACACCTCTAGGTTGGTGTTACTATGACTACACCTCTAGGTTGGTGTTACTATGACTATACTGCTAGGATGCCGTAACTATGACGATACCTCTAGGATGGTGTTACTATGACGATACCTCTAGGATGGTGTTACTATGACGATACCTCTAGGATGGTGTTACTATGACTACACCTCTAGGTTGGTGTTACTATGTCTATACCGCTAAGTTGGCGTTACTATGGCTGTACTGCTAGGGTGCTGTAACTGTGCTGTAACTATGACGATATCTCTAATATGGTTTGAATATGACCAGTACACTACTAGAGCGCTGTGACCATGACTCTATCGCTAGGTTGCTCTGACGGTAGCTGTATAGCCAGGAAGCTGCGACTATGACTACACAGCTAGTATGCTGTAGCCGTGACTACGTAGCTAGGATAGTGTGACTATAACTGCATAGCGGAAGTGCTGTGACAATGCCTACACCGCTAGATGGCCCTGAGTGTGACAACACATCAACTGTGCTGTGACTGCGATTACACAACGGAATTGTGACGCTGTGGCTATGGTTTCACATTAAGGATATTGTGACTATGGCTTCATCCTAGCAGCATCCGCTAATAGATAGGTGGGCAGATAGATAGATATTAGATCGATTAGAAATAGAAAGATAAATAGATGGATAGATAGTTAGATAGATAAATAGATAGATAGATAGATAGATAAATAGATGGCAGACAGGCAGACAGGCAGGCAGGCAGCCAGCCAACCAGGCAAGCAGCCAGGCAGGCAGGCAGATTGATAGTTAGATAGAGAGACATGAGATAGATTCGAGACAGAGGATGAGATTAGATAGATTCGAGACAGAGGATGAGATTAGATAGATTAGAAAGAGATTGATGCACTCCTACTTCATAACTATAATAGTGTAAGTATAACGATCCCGTGCCGTCCCATGCTGATTGTAATGATATCAGGAATACGTTAATAGAGATGATATAATTTATATTCAATAATTAATTCTATTCACTTCCTTCTGATAACATTGGTAACATGCCAGTGGAATTCCAAACAAACGGGCGTACGTGTTTTGATAGGTCATTTATTATAATCTCATTCGGTCATGGATCGTAATAAACCCTCAGTCTGCCAACCGAGTCGTGCTTGCAGTAGATCTTGTCTTGGCGGGCTGTGTCGTTGCGCGTTCCAAGCATCCGCAGTAAGGTTAACATTGCCTCGCCGTGGCTCGCATCTGTCTCGTTAGCTTAACATCCAGCCGTCCATTTTCTTTAATTCGTTTCACTCGCGTCTAAACGTTAAACGGATTAAACGCGATCGTTTTGCGCGAATTTTTGCGAACTCGTTCGCCTACTCAGTCATCCACGCCCCAGCAACACGCCCCGTAGTACTGGCTCGTGGTTAACTATCTCTGGCCTGTCATGACCACGCCCCTGAACCACGCCCATCTAACGCTGCGTCATGTTCGCGTTCATCATCTCCATGCACGGGTAAAATACCACGCATCGTTCGTTCGTTTGTTCGCTCGTTCGTTCGTACGCACGTTCGAACGTTCGCTCGGTCGTTCACGTTAGTTGCTGATTAAATTTATTAACCTGATTGTCGAAGGATGCCAAAGGAAGTGCAATTCCAACTGCATTGCTAACCCTTTACGTGTCGTTCGCGTTCACAATTTACACACATGCACACAAGCGCGCCCACGCGTGCGATTGTAATAATAATGATTATGATGATGATGATGATGATAATAATAATAATAATTAGTAATAATAATAGTAATAATAATAATAAGAAGAAGAAGAAGAAGAAGTGCAGAAAATTGCACTACTGGGAACAGCACACATCCTGCGAAAAATTATGGATTGAATCCCTATGTCCCAGGTTGGGACACGGTCAACCCAGAAGCCACGGGCTAATGCCGTGATCCACTTTGGAAATAATAATAATAGTGGTAGTGGTAATGGTGATGGTAGTAGTAGTGGTAGTGGTCGTAGTATGTGGTGTGTGGTATGTGGTACTTAGTAACAATAATAATAATAACAACAATAATAATAACACTGCTCTTCCCTTCGCAGGCAAAGACGACAAGGGCTGGTCGATGTACATCGACAGCAAGCGCAGCTGGTTCATCCACAACAACCAGCACTCGGCGCGCACGGACGGCGGCGTCGACAGTGGCGCCGGCTGCGTCGTCGGCGTGCTGCTCGACCTTGAGCGACACACGCTCGCCTTCTACGTCAATGACGAGCCGCACGGACCGGTCGCCTTCTCCGACCTGCACGGCGTCTTCTACCCGGCGATCTCGCTCAACCGCAACGTCACGATGACGATGCACACGGGCCTTGACCCGCCGACCGACACTGAGGGATCGGAGAGCTCTGGGATCTCGACGATGCAGTAGTGGCGCCCCCTACCTTTGCGCGCGCACCGTTACGCGGAACTGACCCCCTCCTCCGGTCGTGACCTTATTAGGGACGTTGACGCGAAGGATTGTGACGGACAGTCCGGGGTCGGTTCGCGTGGGCGGAGATGACGCGAGTTAGGCGCCCCCTGGCGGGCGGCGGCTCGGTGAGCATTCTCGTGGCACGAGCGAGAGCAAAGGTGAGGGAGGAAGGTGTAATTACCCGTCGTATATATAATGGATGAGTCAGGCAAAATGCAAATCAAACTATGTATTCTACGCGAATCACGGTGGTCGAGCGGGCGCGCGCGTGAGCACAGGTGCTCGCTGATGACCTTTTGCTGACCTTTCACTGAGGTCACGAGAAGCAATCGGTTGGGCAGCGATCCGATTCGACTGAGCGAGATTCTACTTGTATTGCGTAAGATCTCAAGTTCACACGGCCGACTGCTGGCGAGTCAATGACGTCATTTTGTCACCCTGGCCGACGGGGCTGAATCGTATGTAGTTATTTATAGAAGATACGTGGGCCCGGGGATGGGGTGGGGGTGAAGGGGGGTCTTAGTAAGGGAGATGCGGTATTCGTACAGTGAAGAGTCAGCGTCTTTCACTGCCGAAATAATGTGGGCTCTACACCGGTGGTTCTGTCGATGCCTGCAGATAGATAGATATAGGTCGACATCTGTGTGTCGTTTAAGATGGACGGATGAAAACTTGTGTGTGACATTCGTTCGCGTTTCCGTTGAATCTCGGCGCACGTTTTTCGTCACGAGCCAAGCGCTCATAATTATTCCCACTGCCACCAACAATGGCCAAAGTTCGAACGCGCTGACGTGACCCACGGGAGTAGGATTTTGGCAGTACGCTAAGACGCAGCGAACGCTTGTCGCCACCTCACTTGTAAACTTGTACATATTTGTCGGAAATGTTGCGCGTGCGGCGGGCGCGTCAGACCCCCACGCGAGGGGAGATTTTACGATATTTTCTGTAGCGTGTACATGCCTAGTTTATGTTCGACCACACTTAATTCGAAGGGAGTTCGTTTTGCGCCGTAGCGACAGGCATTTTACATATACGATAATGCACTTGCGCGCTCTTTACTCTACGGTTTACATATTATTACTGTAGGCACACTTATAGCATGCGCAGGTGTTGTTGTGTTGTTATTTTGATGTTGTGAGAAGTGTGGCCCGCGCTATTGCTCGCTGTTGCGCGCGCCACCTGGCGGTGGCTTAGTGGGCGCCTCATCTGTTAAGGGTTTTAACAGCCTCGACAGCTGATGGCAATATCTCACTGCGGGACTGCTAACAGCAGCGTTTGTACATCTCTCTTGTTTGCATCTACGCGCGTCGGCCGCATAGTAAGATGCATTTAACTTTATGAATTTAAGTAGAACTATCTCTGCCTCGGGAGCCCCGTGGGAAAGTGGGCGGGGAAGGGACGGGTAGGGCACAGCCAATTCTCGTGCGGGCGAGTACTAAATACAGCAATAAGATGACGACGACGACGTGTGCCGTACTCCCTGCGTGTGTGTGTTTAACTGATTTAAGGTGTTTTGTGTAGAATTAAGTTAATCACGTAACAAGGCAAAACAGGGCACAGACTCGCTCTCTCTCTTTCTTTCTCCCTCTCTCTCTCTCTTTCTTTCTCTCTCTCTCTCTCTTTCTTTCTCTCTCTCTCTCTCTCTTTCTCTCTCTCTCACTCACTCACTCTCGCACTCCGTCTGTTCCCATCTTTCACTACCGTTATCTATCTCGTTCGCTCTCTTCCCCTCTCTGTGTATCCCTCCCTTTGCGTCGCTGAGCAGATATTTTTGCCGAAGCAGAATTTATGACGATGCCTCGTATTGCGCGATTGTGCCAGCCACCTACGGTTCTTCATCGCTGGTGGCAAGTGAACGCCCTCGTGTGGCTTGTGACGTAACCCCAGTTATTTTCGAAACGAAATGTTTGTTTTTTTGGTTTAGCGGGCACAAGCGCTATTCTGTTGGTATTTTTCACTCCAATGAAAATTAACAGGGGCGAAAACACTGCCGGCATCTGAGAGCTCTGCAGCTTCCCTGTGCTGTCGTTAGAAGATAATTTCAGCGTTCTTTACTGGTATTATTATTGGCTTATGTAGCGGTCCCTGCTGGTATAATTCCCCTTTTAGTCCCCTGGCTATTATTTCTTAGCTACAATCAGTAATGCGCTTGCCAGAGCCCTCTCCAGCGCTCCATGCTGCCATACAGAGCCTTGTTGAGTAATTTAATCTGTCCGGAATAGATACAACAGTGTAGTTGTACGATCTACCTCATAGTCAGTCCTTGCGAAAAAATCAAATACAACACAAATTGAAACGACCGTTTTTATGCGTCAATCAAAACACTGATACACCCGGTACAGCTAGCCTGCATGCATGTTTTATTGGTGCGCCGACTAATGCAATATTCGGTTGATTAGTATTGCCTATACTCGCGTATTTCATAGTCGTCTTAAAATACGTGAAGCGTTTTTAGTTGGGAGCTCCTGAGCAGAGTTTGTTTCACATGTGTCAGAGAAGTTGTGTCTGATGAAAGTCGAGTTTTTTTCATTTTCGTCTTAAGTGAAGCAATTATTACATTGAAACGGTTGTCACGTGATTTATTTTTATTTTCATGTAATAATCTCGTGTAAGAGAAATGTTTAGTTTTTGAAACCTGTCGTGAAGTCATCATATATTTATGTTCCGCTGTATATTTATTCTCTCGTATAATCTTATAAAACGATTTAAGCAAAGGAATCGATTTCCTTTCATGAGCTTAAACTCTAACGATGGGAAAACGTACCGAAAACGGGACTTTTCCTGTAAATCACGCAATTCGACGTATAGTTATTTTAATAACCGAACTGCTCTTCGGTTAGACCACAATGAACGATGTGTTTATTTCTTACTTTGGTAGCATATAGGTGGCGCCATATTTGCGTCTGCGGCCGGTTTCCTAGTATTGGATATGGTTGGTAAAGGTACATAATTATGTCCTGGTGCACTGACTACCAACATCATACGTGCTATTATGCACCCGGGGTATTTTTGTTGGAAACCAGTGTTGTTCTTATTCTTGGTTAGTTTACGAATTTGGAGAGAGATCCGCGTTTCCTGTTGTGGAGCTCATGCAAATCATTCAAAAGTTATTTTATTGGTTCATGCCAACCGCCCGTTGTTGTTGTTTTTCGGTACTGTTTCAATTTAGGATAAGACTATTGTAACCTTCTATATAGTTGTTATATTTTTTCAGTCGCTATGTAACCGATTTCTGTTTGCCTCATTATTTCCTCGTCTAGAAAAAATTCGCCTTTGTTCGTAAAGATCTTTCGCCCACTCATTGGCTTGCAAATCAATGCTTTAATTAGTTTTAATGTGTATAAATATTAGCACATATAAAGAACGAATGTGCCGTTTACGATCGTATTAAGTGTTGTTGTTCAGAGTCACTACAAAACTGTAGTTTTTTCACCGACATTTTACAGCTACTCATCATCTATTTTTCTGCAAACTAAAAAAATAAAATGAAGAAAGATTCACGCAATTTTATGGTTGAGAAAATCAAAACCACCAATTTGCTTGTTCCTGTCCTGTCCAACATGTATATATCAACAATTCTGAATAAAATTGGAGTGAGTTTTAATTTGTGCTTTGTTTCCATTTTTGACGTTGTTGCTCTTTTTCCAGACATATATTATAGCAGAGCTTTCTTAGCACATTTATTGCTCAAATTGTGATAAAAAGCACCAGATTTGGCACACGTGTGCTTTAAGACTTGCTTAATAAAATTAATGTTGACCATAATAATTGAGGTTGGTCATAAGGAAACCTGCCTTGTTTTTCTCGAGTTGCTCTTGTCATTAACCTGGAAAAGCTTGATTGGAAATCGCGAACCTGTAGAGATCAGTCCTCCATTACGTGAAGCTGCCCCACAGAATAAAACCGGAGATCACAGATTGGTTAAATAGTAGTTAATCAATGTTATGATAAACAAGATTTACAAGTATGTGGTGGTGATGGTGACATGAAGGGCCGAGCCACTAATAAGGGACTCTTCCACGACTGCCTCTGATTAGAGTAAGTGGATTATTTCTCAGATGGATAATGATTAAGAACCGACCAGGTGTCAAGCAAAGTCTATCGAATCAACTGGTTTACAATCGGGGACTACTTGACCAGGAGTTAAGTCTGCAGACATCCCGCAAGATCTCATTTTATGAATTCTATAAAACTCGGTGAAATCATTCCTCAATAATAGGGAAGGTATAGAAACAATTGATACAGAGGTAGTGATGGAAAGCTCAGTATTCCGGACTCTGCAAAAGGTAATTGGTAATTAAGAATAGAGAATGAGACTTTAAACAGCGAATGAGCAGCCTAAGCGCAGAACGACTGTATACTGTGTATACTGCCGACACTGCTGGTTTGTGGTAGTGACGCCTATGAGCGAGCGAGGAAGAACCTCGGTCGTGCGGCGGAACGCCAGAAGCAAGGCTACGACAAGCGCGTCCAACCATCGGCCCTGACGACCAACACCTGGGTGTGGTACTTTTACCCGCCCGAAGATGTGAAGTTAGGCCGGCCTTGGACGGGCCCGTACCTCGTCCTGAAAGACGGGGGTTCGCTGAGATGGATCCAGGCGACGGAAGAGGGACCGCCGAAGGGAAGGACGGTGCCCCCGAGGGCGACTCCCAGATGGGGAAGCTGGACGAGGCCAACCGGGTTGGCCCCGCCCAAACGGCGGATGCAGACGATGAAGAAGTAACAGAAGTGGAGGTGGGGGCAGAGCAAGGAACTGCTGGGGCTGAGTGCGAGATGCCTGTCGACCAAGAGACGGTGCGACGCACGACCCCTAGTGGACTTGACGCCCTCGCCAGCCGACAGCGAAGGAGATGAAGTGGGGAAAGCGGGCATGGCAGACGAGACGGCGAGGTGGCACAAGGCCGTTGGAGCCATGGAGCATGATTACCGACCACGGGGCTTGGCGCAAATGACGCGTAGCCGGCTGCAGGTGCAGCCGCCCGCGTACTACGTCTAGAGAGATGAGTGGCAGCGGGAGGGAAGAAGAAGAGACATACGGTGGCACTAGGATAGCTGAAGCTGGTGAGATACCACTGCACGAGTCTGCGGGGAGGAGGAAATGACGAAGCATATGACGCCTCGTGAGTCTCCTGCGAGTGATGGTCACACTCGCGGGGGTACGACTCCTCCTTTCCGACACCGCCGGATGTGTTAGCGGAGCAGACGGGGATGGCACGTGTCGATCTGGAGTATCGACGCGGGTGGTGGGGTCACGCCCACTGCCCGTGTGGGCAGATATCGCCTTGCCCGCGGTGACCCGCCGAGGAGCGGGTTGCGTGTTGTCACCCGAGCGCCGGCGACGTAATTGCTGCTCGACTGACTACACAGATGGTGGCTGGCAGAAGACGCACAGCGAAAAAGCGAAGCCCACCTGTCGCCGTGGGTCATGGACTCTTCCCTCTTTGTGGAACACTCATAGCACGTGGTGATACAGTGGCACTTGGTGAGACTGAGACTGAGACAGGAACACGTGGTGAGACTGAGACTGAGACAGGAACACGTGGTGAGACTGAGACAGTAACACATTGTGAGACTGAGACAGTAACACGTGACAAGACCGAGACCATAGCACGTGGTGAGAACTACGGCAGAGCGTCGGCAAGTGAGTTCCCGGGGGCCAGGGAGCCTACAGGATCGCCGTCGACGCCGAATGTTCTACCGGCCCGTGGACGCGTGGGAGGAACTTCGCGTAGTGCCGGGGCCCACTAAGCGCCCCGTGCCGCGATCAGTTTATTTTGTAGTTGCGCATTCTTTTGTGATGTTTACCGCTGGGCGGTTGCCCCTCGTTCTTAGCGGAGTGTGTATTAACAATGTGCGGTTGTTTCTAGTGGTTCAAGTGTCATCTGCTATGTTTTATTTTCATTTGATAGTATAAATTGAGCAGGGGCTTTTCAATTTTAAGTTGGGGGGAATGTAGCAGATTCGCTTTTAGAATCGTGCATCGATGTGCAGTTTATTTCACGGGAGATGGCGCTAGCCGCGAGGACGATTCCAGGAAGGGGAGAACAAAGGAAGAAAACGGCGCGAAGAAGGAGATACGCCTGAGAGTGATGGCGGCAGTGTTTTAGAATGTGTCCGTTTTTAATTAACCGTTTAATTAACCGTGCGCGTACTGTAATTTATAGTGCTATTGTGAGTGCCTCGTAGTGCGCGTACGGTACTAGTAGTAGTACTACTACTAGTGTGGTAATGTAGAATATCTGTACGGAACGTATACTGTACGTCTGTAGCCTCAGTGTAGAGATAAATACGGTACGGTTACAGGCTACAGCGCGTTTGAAATATGTCATACATTCATATAGTGTATTACCGTACTTTAGTATTAGTGTAGCTAGTACCGTAGCTGTAGCTGCATGTAGCTGTATGCTGTAGCTAGTACCGTAGCTGTAGCTGTATGCTGTAGCTGTAGCTGTATGCTGTAGCCAGTACCGTAGCTGTAGCTGTATGCTGTAGCTAGTACCGTAGCTGTAGCTGTATGCTGTAGCTAGTACCGTAGCTGTAGCTGTATGCTGTAGCCAGTACCGTCGCTGTAGCTGTATGCTGTAGCTAGTACCGTAGCTGTAGCTGTATGCTGTAATTAAGCTAACGCTGACCCTTGCGGGTTTTTCCCCAACGAATTTACATTTCTCCCCGCGAATCGAGCTTCCACATATTTTGTACACCAGGGGGCGCCACCGAAAGTGACACCCCTCGTTAGACAGTCTATTGTGTAGTATTTGTAGAACGTATTTGTGGTGTATAGGCACTGGTGTTTAAATAGCACGTAATAATTGTTAGTTCGCGTGTTACGGTGGCGTGAGGGTCTTTCGCGTCGAATCGCGCGCGACGATCAGAGCGAACGTGCCGCTGTCGCGGTGTTGGTAGATGTGTGACGCGAGGATAAAGCAATGGGTATCTAGTAAATAAACACTTCTAGTTCCACTTGTTACTGCCTACTTCTCACTTCTCACTTCATGACCGGCACCCCCCCCCTCCGTATCTCACTTTATGACCGCCCCCCCCCCTCCGTATATCTCACTGGACGGCCGGAACCCCCCCCCCCCCTTCTCGGCGCTCGGGTGTTTGACTGCCTCTGCCTCGTCGCGTCCTAGTGATCGAATCGGTAAAGGACGGGGAGTAACGGCCCTGTCAGGGTGCGCGGCGACAACGGCAACCATACTATACCACGGCCAAGGGTAGTAGTCGACGCGGTCAGTTAGGCGATCGGAGAGAGGGAGAAAACCGTTACATTATGTTAAGGAATAAAACGGTTTGAAACGCGCAAAATGGAGTGCTGACTAGATTTTCTTCTATCTCAACATTGTACACATAGGCCTACTGGAAAAGGGGCAATGCATGTCACTGGTGGTTTGAATGCGGCCGTGGCGGTGGCGGTGCGGTGCGGCGGCGTGGTGCCGGCCGGTGCGCGTGCCGGTGCGGGCCGGTGGCGGGCCTGGTGCGGGCTTGGCGTGGCGGTGCGCGGCGGGCGGGGGGGGGCGGTGGTTGCGGGCGATGGTGGAGAAGGAGGAAGAAGAAAAAACGCAAAAGAAGAAGAAGAAAAAGAAAAAGAAGTAGAAGAAGGAGACGAAGAAGAAGAAGAAGAGGACGAGGAGAAGAAGAAGACGCGGGAGGAGGGTGACGAGAGCGAGTATGAGAGGCGGACTCACGATAAAGTATGATATACATATTATATATATATATATAATATATAATATATAATATATATATATAATATTATATTATATATATATATATAATAATCAAACATACATCGTATTTTTTAGTTATTTCGTTGCATTTCTTGTCTTTAGTTTTAATAAAAATATTTAGTGCAGAATCTGTCTGTTTTTGTGGATGATTTTCTATCCGCTGTGATTTCACTTGAAAGGGTTTAGTTCAATTACACTACGATACTACATTTTTTAGAATGGCATTTACTACGGGCCACGAGATACCCTTACAATTAGTATGAATTTACACTCGCAATAAAAATAATTACACATTTGGAATTATTACACAAAAATACACTATTAGTATGTTGCGCATATGTGGAGTTTCAGATTGTCAGCGATTGCGTACACAGCCACGTAGCTCCGTATTTGTTCGCGGTCACGCATGCGTACTTGCGTCGTCCGAATGTGCGTGCGTGCATGTGTAATTACGTGCGTCCGTGCGTGCGTGTATGTGTAGTTGCGTGCGTGCGTGAAGCGTGATGTTGTAGTTCAGATAAAACAGTGAAACAACGGAATTTAGGCTACGAAAACCGTTGAAAGGTGATAATAAAACATTGATCGTCTCTATCCGGATATAATGAATCCAATACAGGCAGTTATCGAACAGTTATTGCTATAAATGCTTTGCAGTATAACTGGATGGTGGTCTTTCTGAAAACTTATTGAAAAGCAAGAAGTTGTAAGAACGGGAAAAAGAGAAAGAACAGTGGGCTAAGTAGGATTCCACTTAAATTATCATCACCTTTTCCACTGTTTGCCAGAAAATTAATATGCACGTACTTCTGCGAAAAACAGCATATAATTGATTGCTGACGTCTTCGATTTATTTACGCTATTGTAGCGCGTTACACTAATAATGTTTAAAAATAGACTTCAAAAATTACTTCTAAAATAGACGAAAGTGTGTTTTCTGCGGAAATAGTGCTATTCGAAATCGTGTTGTAATCCAGAGGCACCAAACATCATTTTGTACGCTTGATGAAACTTCTGGCTTAGTTTCATCATCAACGTGGTTTTTTCAATCTCCGACTTCTCCCTGGAATTATTTTTAAAAATAAGTACAGAATACGCACGTACGCCCAGAAACACACGCCGGGTAAACCGATTAATTATGACAAAGCCCCTACTAATATAACAATCGGGAAATATACACTCTGAGAAAGTACGTAATATAAAATAATACAACACAAATCCAATCACATAGTATCAACAAAAAACAACAACAACCGACAAACAAAGAACATTGACAAATATTAAATTATAACAAACAACAACAATAATAACAATAACAACAACATCACACGCCTTTACGCATAAGTTTCCTGTGTTTCTGGTACATCGTTTGTGGCAGCCAATCATAGTTTGCCTTCGGGTTTGTTTTCATCTTTTTGAAGCTAGTGGCTTCAGCGATCAGGTCGACTTGATCCTCAGTGAGTTCCCTACCCAGATATTCGGCTATCTTACGGATGCTTGCCTTGGGATCCTATAAAAAGATCCCATATAATAGCAAGGAGAGAGAAAAGTACAATGATAAAATGGTAGCAAATAAACATCAGTTTTATTTACTACCAATGTGTAGTCTCTATCGCCTAATAATTTTACGTAAATGCCATCAAATGCTCCTCTACAACCCACATTCTTAGATACCTATCTTTTGTGAATTCATGCACAGTGGCGTACGTACGGCATGCCATTGCGGGAATTTGCCCAATGTATATATTGGGATGTTTATTATCAGTGAGTAGATAATTATGGAATTCCGGCTATTATTCTACTCCTGATGTTAATCATATAATCATATAATTATGACAAAAGGTGAAAACCATGCAATGGGAGGCACGCTATTTACCTAGCTCCCTCATGCGTTTCCAGACCAAGCTAGAACTTGACATAATCTCTTAGCGTTACGTGATTAGGTCATTAATTTGCCGCCATGATGGCGGCCACGAGTATACGTGAGCTCGTTAATTTCCACTAAAGGTGTTGAACAACAGTAGAGGCCGTCCATAGGCTGCAGGCCTGAATAAGCATCGAACAGAAATTAATTAAAAATACTCACACTGTTACTGCACTTCACAAAACATACACTTTTATTCATGTTAAATAACTACAGATTCATGCTCTGTGGCTCCCTCGAAACTTTTGCCAGCTCTATGATGCGAATTTCTGGCAAAGTTGTCTGAAACACCATTTCATACAAAAAACACCAACCGGTCGCTGTGACTACCTGACGGAATGTCACGAATACACAACAAGAATAATTTTACTTAATCTTACTAATGCTTTCTCGACGTCCACGAGGCATCCACCTTGCCGTGCATAATGCTAATTATTGCATCTAGGTGCCGAATTTCGGCGAAAAAAAATGCAAAAAGGCCTTTCTAGAACGAAGTAGACGGTGAACAAATCGCGGACGCTTACTGGTATATGCCACCTCGTGAGTGTACGTTATAGTACGTGAGCTCGTTAATTTCCACTAAACGTCAACGAGGGGCGGAGCCAGGGCCACGTGCACCTAAGCAGCCACCACGCGTAGAGAGGCCCGTCCTTTGCTACATTTTCTTTCTCTTCGGTTCTGCATTCTCACTGGCCTCCTCTCCTGCGAGGTACAACGCTGTAACAATCGTGCTTGTTTTAATCTACCAGCGGCGCGATCCCATACGTGATCATACTCGTGGTGGCCGTTGGTTTCCAATTTATTATTTGTGTATTA